AAATGAAAAGGCAACCTGTGGAATGGAAGAAAATATTCACAAGCCACATAACTGATAAAGGGTAAATATCTAAATATATGAAGAACTCATACAGCTCAGTTACAAAAATAAATAAATAACTCAATTAAAATGTGGGCAAATGTATGGAATATATATTTTTCTAAAGAACACATACAAATAGCCAACAGGTACATGAAAAGATTCTCAACATCATTAATCACCAGGAAAATGAAGATCAAAACCACAATGCAATACCATCTCCTACTTGTTACAATGGCTATCACCAAGAAGACAACAGACAATAATTGTTAGTAAGGATTTGGAGAAAAGGGAACACTTGTGCACTGTGGATGAGAATGTAAACTGGTGCAGCCACTATGAAAAATAGGATGAAAATTTCTTCAAAAAAATACAAATAGGGGCGCCTGGGTGGCTCAGTCGGTTAAGTGACCAACCTCGGCCCAGGTCATGATCTCATGGTTTGTGAATTCGAGCCCCACATCGGGCTCAGAGCCTGGAACCTGCATCTGCTTCTGTGTCTCCCTCTCTCTCTGCCCCTCCCCTACTCATGCTCTGTCTCTGTCTCAGAAATAAACATAAAAATTTTAAAAATAAAATAAAAATAGAGCTACCATATGAAGCAACAACTCTACTTCTGACATATACCAAAAGGAAATGAAAACAAGATCTTGAAAAGATATCTGCACTCCCTGTTCATTACAGCATTTTTCATAATAGGTAATGTATGAAAACAACCTAGGCCTCTGTCAATAGATTAATGAATAAACAAGATGTGGTGTACACACACACCCACACACTCACACACACACACACGCAATGGATTAGCATTCAGATATAAGAGAAGAGGACAGTCTGCCATTTGTCACAACATAGATGGGTCTTGAGAAAATCATGCTAAGTGAAATAAATCAGACAGAAAAAAAATACTGTATGATATAATTTATATGTGTGAAGCTAAAAAATAAAAAACTCATAGAAGCAAAGAGTAGAATGGTCTTTGGGGCTGCAAGTAGGGATATTGGGGAGATGTTGATCAAAGAAAGGGTACAAACTTATAGGGAAAAAATTAAGAGAAATACTAGTAAAAAGGAATTCACTTATTTTGCACTTTAGCATTTTTGTAAGACCCAAATTTTCTATCATGTTGTAGGTATTATGTTAAAAATTTTAATGCACTTAAAAAGAATATACTATGCATAAATATTTAATGTATTTGTACTATATTTTAGTAGCTTTTTCTCATACAAAAAGTCAACCCTGCTAATGTAGTCTTACAAGCCATAGCACTTAGTGAATGAATCAACAAATCATTTTTAAATATAACTACAACCTTAAAGAGAATGCCTATGCCATTAGAAGATGAAAATGTTGGGGCACTGGGTGGCTCAGTCAGTTGAGCGACTGACTTCGGCTCAGGTCATGACCTCATGGTTTGTGAGTTCGAGCCCCGTGTCAGGCTCTGTGCTGACAGCTCAGAGCCTGCAGCCTGCTTCCGATTCTGTCTCCCTCTCTCTCTGCCCCTCCCCACTCATGCTCTGTTTCTCTGTGTCTCAGAAATAAATAAACATTAAAATTTTTTTTTAAAAAAAGAAAATGTTCCCTTATCCATGAATTCAGCAAAGTCACAGGATATAAAATCAATGCACAGAAATCAGTTGCACTTCTATACACCAATAATGAAGCAACAGAAAGAGAAATCAAGGATTAGATCCCATTTACGATTGCACCAAAAACCATAAAATACCTAGGAATAAACCTAATTAAAGAGGTGACAAATCTATACACTGAAGACTAGAGAAAGCCTATTAAAGAAACTGAAGACACACACACAAAAAAGGAAAAATATTCCATTCTCATGAATTGGAAGAATAAATATTGTTAAAATGTCAATACTACCCAAAGCAATCGATATATTTAAATTTTTTTTTCCAACGTTTATTTATTTTTGGGACAGAGAGAGACAGAGCATGAACGGGGGAGGGGCAGAGAGAGAGGGAGACACAGAATCAGAAACAGGCTCCAGGCTCTGAGCCATCAGCCCAGAGCCCGACGCGGGGCTCAAACTCACGGACCGCGAGATCGTGACCTGGCTGAAGTCGGACGCTTAACCGACTGCGCCACCCAGGCGCCCCAGCAATCGATATATTTAATGCAACCTCTATCAGAATATCACCAGCATTCTTCACAGAGCTAGAATAAACAATCCTAAAATTTGTATGGAACCAGAAAATACCCCCAAATAGCCAAAGCTATCCTGAAAAAGAAAACCAAAGCTGGAGGCATCACAATCTTGGACTTCAAGCTGTATTACAAAGCTGTAATCATCAAGAAAGTATGGTACTGGCATAGATACTTAGATCAATGGAACAGAATAGAGAATCTAGAAATGGACCCAGAAACGTAAGGCCAACTAATCTTTGACAAAGTAGGCAAGAATATCCAACGGAATAAAGACAGTCTCTTCAGCAAATGGTGCTGGGAAAACTGGACAGCAACATGCAGAAAAATGTGCCTGGACCACTTTCTTACACCATACACAAAAATAAACTCAAAATGGATGAAAGATCTAAATGTAATACAGAAAGCCATCAAAATGCTAAAGAAAGCAGGCAAAAACCTCTTTGACCTCAGCCACAGCAACTTCTTACTCAACATGTCTCCGGAGGCAAGGGAAACAAAAGAAAAAATAAACTATTGGGACTTCATCAAGATAAAAAGCTTCTACACAGCGAAGGAAACAATCAGCAAAAAAAAAAAAAAAAAAAAAAAAAAA